CACAGCCAGTGCGGCCGTCCTCACGCCAGAGGCCTGCCTCGGCCCCAGGTGCAGAGGAGGAAGAGCGGGTGCCCAGCCCCTCGGCACTGGCCTGAGGAGCGCGCTGCACCTGGCGCTCGGCCTCAGAGCCTGGCCGTTTGCATCCCCGAGGAGCGCGCCCACCGGGATCCCCTGGCCCGGCCGGCACCCGCTGCACCAGATCCCTGCTGAGGGCGGCCGGCCCGCACCCCTCCTGGCTGCTGCCTCACCAGGGCTTCGCGGGACACAAAGCAGCGCCCATGCCGCCGCTCCCACCTGTCCCCTTAGTGCCGATGCCGTGTTCAGCCCACACTGGCAGGGAGCCTGGGGCCTGGCACAGCCCGGAGGAGCGCCCAGCAGGCCACACAAGGGTGCACGGGCCCACACTTAGGTGCAGACTGCTGCCCACACAGGGAGGCCCAGGGCCCGCAGCTTCATCTCCGCCTCAGGAAGAGGGTGGCTGGGCACAGGGTCTGGCACAGCAGTCACTCAACCAGCAGCGTGGCTCCCTGCCCACCCCCCCCCCCTGCCCCCCGGCCGCTTCCCGAGAGCCCAGAGCCCAGCAGCAGCACTCATGGCGCCGACAGTGCTGGGGTCCACGCGGGCACCTCCCAGGGCGGCACCACAGAGAGCGCAGCAGGCAGGGGTGGGGTCCTGGGAGGCCTGGCAGCCTGTGGGAGGCGGGGCAGGAAGTTAGCGTCATGATCTGGGGCCTCCTGGCTCCGGCACGCTGTGTCCCACCCCTTCGTTCAGGCACCAGCAGGTGAAGGAAAGCCACGCCTGCTCCAACACCGCCGACCTCGTCCTCGCTGTGCACCCGCTCAGGAGCCCCTCCCTGCACCCAGGTTCCTCCACTCTCTGGGCCTCAGGAAAGCCCTGCCCAGCCTCCCAGCCAGCTGGCCAGTCCCTCTGTCTTCTCTCTGCCCCCAGAGTCACGTCTGTGCTGCCGTCACCCTTTCTGTCCCCAGGCTGACGGGGCCTCACCAGGCTGGCCCATTGGCCACGTGCCCAGCACAGTGCCCGGAGCAGGTGACATTCGGTGACCGCCAGCTTACCAGGGCAGGGATGGCACAGAGGAGCGAGTAGCAGAGCGAGAAGGTGTCCTGTGGGCTCGAGCTGCCTCCTCCCACAGCCCTGCTGGCCAGCCCTGCGCTGGGCAGGAGACGCCAAGGGGCACGGTGCTTCCTGCTCACCAGGATCTGGCCCGCCCCCAGGGGACCAAGACCCACATCCACGTGGAGGTCTGGCCACGCCCTGCCCTGGGGTGGGAGGGCTGGGCCCAGGAGAGCCGGTGGGACAGACCACAGGGGTGGGGGGGGCTGCAGGGAGAGCCCTGAGGGGAGAGGGCAGAGCTGGGTGGGCCAGGAGGCCCTGACTCAGGGGCCAGAACACAAGGTGTGACACCCTGGGCACGCCACCTCCGTCGTTAGACACAAGAACAGCCCACGCCATCCCTACCTGGGACCCAGCCCCCTAGGAGGGTGCTCCCCAGGCCCCTGGGTGCAAGCTCCAGGCACCCTGAGAACACACCCCTGCTTCCCGGCCCAGCTCCGAGAGGTCGCGGCTGCCCTGAGGCTCCGAGCCTGGGCACACACGCGCGCGGGACGCACACGCGACTCCTGCCCGGCTCCAGGAAAATAATTAGCGCAGCCCCGGGAAACGTAAACCGTAAACCGGAGCCTCCGACAGGCCTGTAATTCATGCAAAGCTCAGGACTGTGGTGCCTGCCTCCCGAGCCCCTAACTCAGCATTTTCTTTTCCCTGACGAAAGCAGGACGCCAGGCTTAACTGCTCTCACGCCCTCATGGTGCTGCCGTAGGAAACTGAACCCACTGCACACGCAGGGGCAAGCGAGCATGGGGCGGGGGACAGGTGAGCATGGGGGGGCAGGGGAGCATGGGGGGCAGGCGAGCGTGGGGGTCACAGAACCCCCAGGCCACACAGCAGCCCCAGGCCAACCCCCGGGCAGTCACAGCCAGGGAAGGGGCAGGGCGGTGCCAGCACCAGCCTGCATGTCTTCTGCCCGGCTGGCCCAGCACCTGGGAAGCCCCAAGAGGAGCACAGGACGGGCTGCTTCCCAGCACCCGTGGGAGCTGACAGGACACCCGGGAGCCCGGCCCCGGCCCTGCTGAGCTCGAGGCGCCTCTGCTCCCACCGCGCAGAGCCAGTTAGCCCCAGCTGCTGACCACCCCACAGCACCCTGGGAAAGCACGTCGGTGAGGCAATGCCTCCTTTCTGTGGGAACCCAGGGCAAGGCTCCCTCCACCCACTGACCCTCCTGAAGCCCTGAGGCCAGTGCAGGCCACACACAGGGCTGCCCAGTGCCCAGCGCAGGTCCTGGGCCGCCTCCCCAGTGAGTGCAGCTGCTGCCTCCGCCAGGATCGCTGTGCAGCCTGTGAAAGGGACAGGGCTGGTCAGAGATGAACACTGGGCCCTCCTGTCCACCACAGCCCTGCCCCACGGTGGTGAGCAGCTGGCCAGGCCCACACCCCCCCACCACCACCACACTGTGCATCTGGGGCTTCGCAGGCAGAGCCCGGCTCGGGACGGGCAGGGGAAGGAGAAGAGGTGGGGCTATGGCCAGGTGTCCACTGTCTGGGGCAGGTGGGCATGGGACCTCCCACCCAGCGACTTCTGGGAGCTGACGACCCACCGCCCACCATGGCTTCTCCTTGGCCGCCACAGCACACGCTGCCCACTGCTGGAGGAATCGCGTGACCTGCTGTCACCATGAAGCCCCGAGCCTGGGGCCCAGGGGTCGGTGGGCTGCCAGCCCCACGGAGCAGGCAGGGACACAGCTCTCCGACTGGCCTGGGTGCGGGAGCTGGGCAGCACCCTCTCTGCCTTCGGGAGCCAGGCTCAGGGGCACAGGTGCAGCCTATGCCATCAGGGTGCCCCAGGGACAGCACTGGGCCCAGCGAGGCCAGAGGAGGCGGCGTCTGGGAGCTGGAGTCTGGGAGCTGGCCCTGAACCCCCGGGTGCTGCACTGCACTGAGAGTCGGCTCCCACGTGGGGCCGTGAGGCCGTGAGCACCCCTGGCTGGGTTGCTAATTGCCGCAATTACACGGGCGGTAAATTGGAAACCACTGCTGAGGTCTAGGAAAGGCTCTCTCCTCTCCTGCCTCCTCCAGCGCCTGCCCACCCGAGACAGGCCCCACGGGGTCCCTGTGCAGCCATCAGCAAGCGCTCCCGGCCGTTCCTCAGGCACCCTCTCCCGTCCCCCAGCTGCCCATGGACAGCTGACGGCAGAGTGAAACCGAGGCCCTCAGCTCCCTTAGCACATGGTGGCCCAGGGCCCCCACCCAGTCAAAGTCTGACTGAGCCCTTGAGCCCACAGAGCCAGGCCGCGGGAGGGCAGGGAGCGAGGAGGGGAGCGAGGAGGCGGAGGGAACCCTCACCACTCCGTCCCCAGGCGCCTGCGGCCCCAGCCTGCTGAACAATGCAGTTTTGAATTCAATTAAAGCGATTATCTGTTGTGCCAAATAAATTGTGTACAGCATATATCCTGCAGCACGCTACACCTCCGGGCTCATTATTCCCTAACTGTTTCCTCCTGTTTATGCACTCTCAAATTAAACTGCTGATAATACGCGCCAAAATAAAAAATGAGCACACCTTGTCCCAGGAAAATTGATTCTCCCTTTCCCTGAACCGGCGATTGCCAGGTTTTATACACTCTGTTCCTGGTGATCATTAGTAATTCAATTTTCTTTTTATTAGCCCCTTATCTGCTGAGCAATATAGTGGCGGAGCTGACCTCTTTCGCACGGGTAAATGTTTAAAATCTTTTCCCTGATTAATTTTGCCAGTTAAGAAAAAGAGGAGAAATGGCCCGGCTCTCAGCCATCACAATGAATAAAGCTTAATGTTGATTGTGATGGAATCTCTAATGCCAGGGAAATTGATTGAACGCCGCAATTACACCGCAACAGCCACTCCAGGGAGACGGGCTGGCCTTCTCCTGGCCGCAGCCTTTTGGTTATTTAAAACAATCCAATTTGCAAGGATAATTATGTATTAGTGTTTTATCTGCCACTTGAAATGAACAGGGGAGTTTCGATACTGGCCCCGCATTAGCAGGTTATTGCTGCAAATTACTTGATATCTGCTTTCTTTCACATAAACAGGAAATTGGGCAATCAATCACCAGAAAAAAGAGGGACCGAGGGATAGGAGGGGCAAGAGCGCCCTCTGCTGGGCACCCGGCCGCACGGCAGGGCGTGGGGCTGGGGCTGGGCTTCCCCCACCTGCACCACAGGGGGCGCCCTCTCTCCTCACCTTGCCACGAAGTCCACACTAGGCCGGGCGTGGCAGCCAAAGGGCAGGGGGACAACCAGCCCTGCAGCCTGGCCTCCCGCCTCCGGGCCCACGCCCGCCCTCTAGTGGCAGCTCCCACAGGCCCTCCCTGAGGCGCCCGCCAGCCTCCTCCAAGCCAAGCTGGGCCCTGGCACAACAGTCCTGCGAGGAGAGCGCAGCCTCCACCCGCTCAGTGGGCGCAAGTCCCAAGGCAAACTGGCCCCGCCTGCTCGGCCCCAAACCCTGTTGCCTCCGTATTTCACAGGCGTCGGCCCGGCAGTCCCACCACACGCTCCCCGCTGCTCCAAGGGGAGGGAAAGGGGACCACAGGACCAGTGCGCCCGGTGGGGGGGGGGGGGGGCGGGCCTGGCTCTCCAGGACGGCATCGAGTGACCCCTGCCTCCCCCGTGCCCACTCTCCACGGCCCCAGACCTCCACCACGAGCCCCGCCCGCCCGTGCCAGCAGTCCCCCGTGCCAGCACCTCACACAGGCCACGCCCACGACGCTCCCCTCAGGCTGGCCAGGAACCAGTGACTCAGCTCAGCGGGCAGAGCCGGCCCTCCCAGGCCTCCTCCTTCAGGACGGCTGGGCAGCCACCCTCTCTTCCACTTCCCACTCCTTCCACCAACAGGAATGCAGCTGGGCTTCCCAGAGCCCCCTCCCAGGGCCCCTCCTGTCCTCATACCTTCCTTGACGGGGAGGTGGGTGCGGCCAGGAGGCAGGCAGCACAGCCGGTGCCGGGTGACCTGCATCAGGCCCTTGGGGGGGGACTTCTTCTGGACAGGGCCGCTCCTCCCCCGCAGGGCCTGCCTCCTGCGCAGGCTGAACTGGCTCTTGGCGGTGGCAGTTGGCGGGGGGCTGCTCTTCTTGTCCCCAGGAAGGCTGCGGAGACAAAGCGGCAGCTCTCAACAGGCCCTCCCCACGGAGGGTGACCCCCCAGCCCACTCAGATAGAGCTCCATGGAAGCCCCATGGAATCGGCCCCAGGAGGCAGCCAACGGAGCCCCAGGAGTTCCCGCCTCAGCAGCACCAGGCCTGCAGGCTCCCAGCCACAGCGGGAGGATCCCAGGATCCGAGCCGGGCAGGTGGGGAGCAGAGCAGAGTGACCCAGCCCTGGCCCCACCCAGTCTGTGTCCTCCCCTCCGCAGGCCAAGAGCCTCCAGCGGAGCTGGGGTGGGGGCAGAGACAGGGTGTGCAGAGGCGCATCCCGCCTTCTCCGCAGGAGGGGCTGTTCCCACAGCTCCTCCTGTCCCTCCTGACACAGAGGCTGCCACCATCCAGAAAAAGATGGGGTCATCCAGGGTCAGACGGTGGGAAGGACCTGCAGAGGGGCACGCACATGAGGATGGGCATGCGCCATGTCTGAGGGCAGAGGTAGGCTCTCTGCATGGCCAGCAGTAGCCACCTGACCCCAGGCCTCACGCCAGGCCATGTGCCATCTTTGAGCCTCCTCAATCCACAGGGTGGAGGGTGGGAGGGGACACGTGGTCACCGTGGGCAGCTCTCCTCCCAGGGGGGACAGCTCCTCCCACAGACACACAACAACCCTGCGTGTGTCTAGCCGGCACCGGGCCAGGCACAGAGCCTCCTGCCCACGGATCCCGGGCCCAGAGGGAAGCTGCCCAGCAGCCTCTCCAGCAGAAGGGGGGTTGCTGGCAGCAGCCTCCACCTGCCCTGCCTGGCCCTGCCCCTGCCGAGCCCCCGCACTCAGCAGCAGCCCGGCCTCATCCCTACTAACAAAGCTCCCCTCTCACTCAGCTCAACCAGGCAGAGACCAGGAGGCAGCAAGTGATGCTTCACCTCCCCCCCCTCCCCCATCACTGCAGGCGGGCCCTCCCACCAGCTGAGTCACCAGGAGGGGGTGCCGGGCCCAGCCCCGCTGCCCACTCAGGACCTGTGCGGCCGGGACACGTACTTGGGCACTCCCCCGCCTCTTTGATGATCTTTGGTGCGGCTCTTCACTTTTGTAAGCCCGAGAGCCCGGGGGGTCTTCACTGAAAGAGGGGGCTTCAAAGCCACTGGGGTCCCACTTGCTGGCTTGTCCCCCCCGGGGGGGGGACCTTAGAAAGGGAACTGGAGAGAGCTGGGAAGGCATTGGTCCTTTGCTTGCCAGGCCTCCGACTGCCAAGCGGAAAGAAGGAGCAAGAAGGGAGGCCGAGGGCCTGGAAGGCCCTTCCACCTTGTAACTTTGCTGCGGGGAGCCCCCCCCGGGGAAACCGGCCCGGCTTTCTTTGGGTTTTGGCCTCCGGGGTCCGCTTCTTGGGGCTGCAGCTTTCTTCGGTTCGCCTCCGCTTGTAACACAACGTTCTCCCGAACTGCTCTTGGGGGTTGAAGGCCCC